TGATTCTATGTCATCATTGAAGGCTCATGATCATAAAATGACTTCCAACAACATGCTCATTGGAAAAACCCAGGTATAGATACCAAAAACCCGGGGAAAAAGTAATTGATGTACAATTGCTGTGGATCCCATCACACACTGGATTACTCCTTCATGGTAAAGTTGTATGTTACCCAAGAAGAGTACCCAGAAGGAGAATGTACAATATAACTTTGATAAAAACTGTGTCTAGCATTAGGAAAATAATTAGGAGAGAAGTAAATAAGGAAAATGAATGTTTAGGAATGCAGTTAGAAGCCTGAGTAGATCTATAACTCACTATGATAACATGAACGTTGATAAGCATGTCTATGGAGCAACTTGCAATGTGAACAGACCAGGCTTAGGCTTGGTTACAAGTATTCTGGCAGTTTGGGAGACACACAGATGATGATCAAACTAAATGCAAATTATGTGGTCAGGTATATGGTCACTGTCTCGAACACTATGTGCTTAATTGTCCACTTATTGAGGAATATAGAGATAGTATAATAACCTATTTGACATGTCAAGATATCTTATTAATGAAAATAGGATACCAGATATACTAAGCAAATTTCCTAAATCTGCTTGTAACAGATAAGTGAACTGTAGATATAAATCCATATGTACACCTTTTAACCTTTTTGGGGCCTAGTTCCTAGGCCTTTTGTGTATCCATATGCTCTCGCGCTACCGTCCACAGGATGGATATGGGGTGAACAATAAACCAGCCACTTCGGTGGTAAAATCTCAAAATCTCTACCTGGAGCCTACCTGGAGGGTATTCCGGGGATCAACGCCCCCGCGGCCCGGTTCACGACCAGGCCTCCCGGTGGATCAGTACCTGATCAACCAAGCTGTTACTGCTGGCCGCACGTAGTCCAAAGTACGAACCACAGCCCGGCTGATCCGGCACCGACTTTATGTATCTGTCCAGTTCCCTCTTGAAGGCAGCCAGGGGCCCATTGGTAATTCCCCTTATGGTTGGTGGGAGGCTGTTGAACAGTCTTGGGCCCCGGACACTTATGGTGTTTTCTCCTAGTATATAAATGGCGCCCCTACTTTTCACTGGAGGTATTTTGCATCGCCTGCCCAGACTTCTACTTTCATAGGGAGTGATTTCTGTACACAGGCCTAACTGACATCAATGACATACTACTATATATAGAAAGCCGCTTGTTATGCAGAACATTTCGGACAAATTAGGTCAGTTTTGTCCCAGGATGCGACCCACACCAGTCCACTAACACCAGGTACCCACTTCACTGATGGGTGAACATGGACAACTGGTGTAAGGAAACGCGCCTATCCTGGTGACGGTAGTAATTAATTTGTGTACCCCACATCCATCCTGTGGACGGTAGGAACTAGATTATTGTGTACCCCCAAATACGTCCTATGGATTGGGGGGGGGGGGGGGTGTAGAAGCATATGCATACACAAAAGGCGTAGAATCTACGCCCTAAAATGGTTAAGAAAAGAACATCTGGGTATTTGCAAATTAATATTTTCAACTGTTACAGAGGGACGGAAAAAAGAAAACAATTGTATTTAAATATTAGTGATCAAGAGAAAATACTATTTATATATATATATATATATATATATTATTTTATATATAATTATATATATATTTTTTATTTTTTATTTTATTTAGAAATTTAGCATACAAACAGAGGTACAAAAAATACAGGTAAGAGCAGCATGCCAAAGCCATATATATATATATATATATTATATATATATATATATATATATATTATATATATATATATATATATATAATAATATATTATATTTATAATAAAAATATTATAAAAATATATATATATATATTATTTATATATATTTATATTTATATATAAAAAATTATATTTTATTTACGGGGAAGCGATAAATCCGTACGGACACACGGGCCCGGGGGGAATGACGGACAATCAGGTTAAATCCAGAGGGAAGGTAATGAAATTCCCTCGGCTCAAAACTTTTTATCAGCGTCTCCCAAAAAATCCCTGGCCTGCTTTTGGCCCTTTTTTTGAAATTTAATTTTTTATAATATTAAACCACACATTGTAATCTTTACAGAGAAATAAACATTCAACTTCAATTTCCCGAGGGCGCCATCTTGGGGAAGCCCCACGTGGAAGAAGCAGCATGACTGATACGGTCAGAGGCGCCATTTGGGAAAGACCGTTGGGGAAGAAGCAGCATGAAAAAAAGGTGAAAAATGCCTTGAGTGCACTGTAATTAAGTCATTAAAACAAATAAATGAATTGATTAAGCAAAAAACCAAAGGTGAATTGAGGTATTAATAATAAAAAAAGAAAAAACCCAGTGAAGATTTACTGGTAAATGATGAGAATGGTTGATGCATATAGTTGGATAGGTGTTTTAAAAAAAATTTTAAATATTTGGATACTGGGTGATATACAAGTTATGTCAGCTAGGGTTTTTTGAAAGATTAGTTAGTACTGGGTGTATAAAAATATATAGTCGGCTATTGATTTTTAAACAATTTTTGTCAGCTACGGGGTATATATACAATAATAGTCGGCTACTGGGTGTTATAAAAATTTATATAGTGGATACTGGGTGTATAACAAGATATAGTCGTAGGGGGGTGTATATCAAGTATATATCAGCTACTGGGTGTATTAAAATTTAAATAGTCAGCTGGGGGTGTAATAAAGTATTACCCACCACTGGGTGTATACGAAAGTATTAGTCAGCTACTGGGATACAAAGTGTATATACAAGTATATAGTGGGTACTGGTGTATATACAAGTATATAGTCGGATACTGGGTGTATATAAAAAGTATATAGTCGGATACGGGATGAATATAAAAGTAGGTAAATATTAAATTTTAAATGTAAAACACGTTCCGGTTTTCTTCACACATGGGGGAAGCTCGATCCTGGTCTGTTAATTTTTGCCCTTCCCCTTTCTTAGTATTCAGATTTCTGTATCAGAAACACAAACTGTTGCAAAAAAATGTATTTTTTATAACAAAAAAGAATTTTAAATCTGTTCCCCTGCAAGCATTCCACTTTTTTTATTCTTGTAACACCTTCCTTTTCTTTTCTTCTTCACCCTCCCCTTACATTTCCCTTGGGGAGTCGGGCCCACAACTTCGTGTGGGGGGGTTGAGATGGTTCATCTTTGCCACTCGTGCAGTACAGTTGCCGCAGCCCCCCAGACGCCCCCCGCGTCACCCACCCACCGGGGAGAACCCTCATTACCCGCCAGAGACAGACAGGCACTTAAAACGATGGAGGGGTAAGACAGGACGTAGAGGGGGAGGGAGACTATGATGGACTAGAAGGTAGACGATAAAAAGGGGCATAGATGAGCAGGTGATGGAAAAGGGAAAGGTATAGAAAAAACAAGGCTGGGAAGTAGGGGGGGCAGACGAGAATCGTAGGAAATTTTTGGGGCCCCTTCACAAAAGAAGACAGAGCAGAAATCACAATACAGACCAGTATCACTCTTGCCAAAACACTGTCAAAATCTTAGGACAATGATTCACGACAAATGACAAGTTTTTTGATCCCACTCACTTTCTTTTTTCTAAAAAAAATATTTCTTCAGGAAAGGTTACTCTGCGCCCATTGTTATTTAAACCCCTTCCCGTATGTGACACAGTTAAGGGTGAATCCCAAAACAGCTGTGTGGACATTTGGCGGGCCTTGTGCTTTCGACCGGTATGGCACCCAAAAACCTTGGGAAAATGCAAGCACTGGGGGAAATGCAGGCTCTACCTGATTACCTTAAGGGAACTCTCAGTTGTTTTTTA